TTTCTCGTCCGCTTGCTGTTGATCGTGACAAATGATCGAGAATAAGAAAGGAAGGAACGAACGAGAGAGAACAGCTTCGTAGATCGGCAAGATATTAGTCTTCTTTTTTTTTTAACCAGGCACTTTCTTTTCTTCTCAAATAGAGTGAGAGAGAGAGAAGTTATCTACACTCGTATTATCTCTATAATTTATAACTGTCGATTTATATTATTTTCTCCTTCTGTATTGAGAGATTTACTTTATAAGAGGATCTGTATTTCATTTTCTCTTTCTATATAAAAGGATCATTTCGTTTCGCTTGAGTTGTGGTACAGATGAGTCACATCATTAGAATCTCAGAACTATTTTATTATAGAGTCATTTTATTTCTCAACTTCAAGAGGATTTTGTTTCTCTCTTTTAACCCGTTCTATTACCCTCCTTTTTTTGAATTGATTAAAAGATTTTTCGAAAGGTTTTAATTAATTCTAATTTCGTATTTGATTCAAAAGCGTCGCGGAAACATTTACATTCTGAGAAAAGAAAAGTTTACTTTATGATTTCCTTTGAAGTTACGTTGCACAAATTTGGGAGAGACGTTCAATTGGTTTTCGTATAAGCAAGGTGGGAGCATTTATGTTCTGAGAAACGAAAGAATTTGATTTTCAACTAGCACGATTGATGATGTTTCACAATTCAGTGTGGATAATTAAATTTTCATACAAAAAACGTAAAAAATGTTTGAATAATCCCCGGTTGTTCCACGGAGAACATTTAATATAATATTTTATATAACATATTTAAAAAATATTATTTAAATAATAATATATTTTATATAACATTTAAAAATGTTATTTAAATAATAATATAATATTTTATATAATATATTTAAAATATATTATTCACAAAATATTTCTTCTAAAAATCTTGTTACTAATGTACATAAGTACGTTTGTGTGTACCATCTGTTTCCGTTGAATCATTTATTACCGTGTCTCATTTCGTCATTGGAACTCGTTAACAAATTAACTCTCGGTAGACGAGACAGGCACGCGCAAGCCGTACATCAGCACACTTTTGAGCTATTGTAGAGTCTCTTTCACAAAACAGGAGAGCATTATCTTTCTCTCTTTTCTCGTTTTGCCCATGTTAAAAAAAAAAAAAAAAGAAACGCGTTAATAAATTAGCAGGCAACAATGGGTAACAGTTTTTTTGTGAGAAAGGAAAACATACTCGTGAATCGCGAACGAGGAACGAGTTCACTCCCTCCGTGGTTTTACGCAGTTTATCTATAAAATAATGTTCCGCGTAATTATACGGATATCATCTACAAGCTAGTAGCGAATATTCTTGAATATTGTTGATTAAATTAATTTGTAGTACGTTTGTTCTCGCATCCGCTGTGAATACCTAACATAAATCGTCTTGCAAATTGGAAAATGATCTTGTTTGCTCTTTCATTTCTCTATTTCTGCGTTCTAATCGCTCTAACTCGCGTAATGGGACAATTTACTTGTTTTCCGAGGTAACAATTCGTATTTTCCTATTTCTAGACATGCAGCTTATTTCTTTTCTTCTTTTTTTTTTTTTTTTNTTTTTTCGAAATACTCAAAATTGAGATTAAAGTATAAAATTTGTATCGGAGAAATTAGAGTGCAAAAAATAGAGAATAGTAGACGATATAGTGAAGAGTACAAGTTTCTAACATCGAGAAATTACGAATTGATTGTTAAATAACAATAGCAGATCATTGCGAAGGTACAGCAGAACAAAGTAAAAATATATTATGGCTCTTAAAAGATTCGCAGAAGAGTTAAATAAAATTTTTTAGAATGAAGGGAGGATAACTACATAAATAGAAAGAAGAGTCAAACTAAATCAAAATTTACATCAAATGTAAAAAGAAAAAAAAAAAAAACACTAAGTTATTTATTGTTGAAAGTTCAAACAATGTTTTATTAACGCAACGTTGTCCCTTAGTGAGTTAAGAACGATATCAGGCATTTGAAAATCAAAATTCTTCTGAAATTGAAACTGAACAACAACACAATTGCGTGACTTTAATCAACCGGTGAATCGGTAGTACGATGTTACGAAAGAGAAACTAAGAGTCTAGAAACGCGAAATAAGAACGTAATTGCGTTCGTAAGAACGAGCGTCGTGCTCATTACGGTTCTCCACTTTCAGCCACGACAAAAATCACAAGCGAAATAATAGCGACATTAAAACAGAGGCTATGATTTTTCTTTCCGCCGGGCCAGTTTGCCCGAGCACGAACGATTTCATCGAGAGCCTTGTTTATTATCGAGTCGATCGCGTAAACGCGCGCAGCTGCGCAATTAATTATACCGGTAACGAAGGTAATTAACTCGAGAGCTATGGCTTCGTGCTATAGTTAGGAATAATTAGGAAGCTTCGCAGATTTTACGCGTGCCAACTGCATCCGAAAACCCGCTAGAAGATACGTATCGTAGAAGCTAGTAATTGTTTTCTATAGTGATTACGAATACGTCTCGAGAAACATTATTTTTCGACTCGCTGCGATTTTTCTCTCTTTCGTTATTGAAACAAAATTGTTTTCAGCCGAAGATTTTCGTCGAAAAATATTAATAAACATTGAGAAAAGGTCGTATTATCTAAAATACGTCGTGTGTGCTATTTTTCTTTTTTCTTTTTTTTTTCTTTTTTTTTTCCTCTCTGAAGCAAAGGCAATTTGTATCGTTTCTACTGAAAATGATGAGTCTGTCGGAAGAGTTATTTTTCTTGGTAGCACCGGAACGTGTAGAACAACAAATTTAGCGCGGAGAAAACCGATCAAGCTTAGAATCTAGGTCTGTAGGTCCTCGTGCTTGTTTATTTTCTCCCGGTGCTCTCTTTATTCGCCCATCCGTCTGGAGGGTTTGTAAAAAGTTTCGATCAGCCTTGTAATGACAGGGGGGGAATTTCTCTGGGAATAAGCCGCCAACGTGTCGTTAAATTGCTTCTTTGTAAGGTCTTGTTTCTTCTGGTTTATTCTGGTGGTAATTGAGTCGCTCAGGAGTCACGTCGATTAACACCGCATGAGTTGTAATGCATGGAAGAGTAATTACAAACATTATTTTTAATCTCTAACCGACATAATTGGATAAAAATTATTTTAATTAGGTTTTAATGTTGCTTAATTTTATTTGACTTTATTTCTCTATCAGAGAGAATATAAAGTACAACGTGAATCTATCAGGTGCCTTAAATTTTGCGTGATAGAATACGAATTTCTATTAAACTTATGATAAGAAAATTTTCTTGTAAGATGTTGAGTATTCATTGTTACATCTCAGATATATGAAATTGATAATTGCGTTGATCAGTTTAGCTTCTGAAAGGCTCAAATGCAGATTCATTTTTGTTTGCAGTGATTGTTAGAGGTTTGAAGTCCCGACGAAACTTAAAATGAATTGGTAGTAAGTTGTCATTGATGTAAATGTCAACTTTTCAAATAACAAATTCTTTTTTTACTATTTTGAACAATAAAGCTCATTAATTTCAAATTTTTTAGATTCTAGAAATAATCTTTAAAATGATAAAATATATATTATTACATGTATATTCTAATATGTAATATAATGTTGTTAAAGTTTAAGTGTATTAATTTCTCTTTCCTCTAAAAGAGGCAGTTTTTTTCATAGTTTAATTTTAGTTCCAGAAATAATGTTCCTTTGTTAATGCAAGATGAATTACATTAACAGATTATAGTACTTTGTCCAACTGGGCACACTGTTTTATATACAAATCTGTATAATTAAGAAGTTACCTAATCAATTGATTTTGCCACTCAACGAGGCATTCGATATTTCAAAAGCATTGAAACGCTTATATAAGCAAGACATTATATAAAATTATTATGCTATGCTGTCAACTCATCTCTGACATATTTCATTTGTTACTCCAATTGCTTCTAATATTACATTCGCTGCAAATATAATGCTCAAGTATATTGCATACAGCGCAGCATATTATAATATAATACATTTATTTTGTTTCAAATTATATATCACATTATGAAGATACTAATTATTTATGACCTCGAGTGGTATTTTTTAATTCTCGAAAAGTATTTTTTTTTTTTTTTTTTTTTTTTCATTTTTTCAGAAAACCCAATTCTTTATAGTGGAATTTCATTTTTAATTTCAATTATTTTTGAGTATTATATAGAATTTTCAAATGTTAATTATATATATATATATTACATTTATTATTTTTAAAAAAGACTCAATCATTATTTTATTTCTTTTTTTCTATTAGAATTTTTATTCCAGATTCTACACCAAAATCTAGAATAAATTACAATTTTCTTGCATGTAAGACCCAGATAAAGTATTACACTTTATTTCTTATCAGTTTAAGCAAAATTCCAAATTTTCTATGAAATATTGATCTTAATATTAAACGTAGAATATAATATAATATAATTCTTTTCAATAATAAAATAAATCTCTTTCTGGAATTAAAAAAAAAATTGCAATAATAATCTGTAAACTAAAATAACTATTTTTATATATTAAAATATTAATATATTAAATGTATAAAAATATTAATAATAGTTATTAATAATATTTTTAATATTAAAATATTAAAAATTTTTATGCTGTATTCATATAAAATCTGTTTATTTATTAGCCTCAGTTCTCTGTGGTAAATACCATTTAACCATTTCAATGCAAAAATACGTCAAGATATCTCTGGGTGAACGTCAGTGTTCCAAATACGAAAGTTAAAATATATAAAAGTCGTTCAATTCCGACCTATCTCTTTTACAATCTTGACAAGTTGTTTGTCATATAAACGGGCAAGTTTCCGATGAGACCAAGGACTTGGTTTCCATTTTAGGGAAGTTGCGTATAAATCGTCTAACGCAGAACAAAAGTTAACACGAGCAAACCGGGGAGAGAAAGCTTCTTCGAGATCGCTCGACCTTCGAGCTTCTTTTCGAATTCGTCTTCGTTTCCTCTTCCTGCTTGTTCCGTGCTGTTTCGTTTCCTTCGACTTCCTTCTCGTTCAAGGAAACGGCTCGCTCTTTTGGAACTTACATTCTGCAGGATCGTTGTCCCGTGTAACATCATGACGTGATTTCATAGTTCTCGAGTCCCTGGGTGGAATTTTGGCTTGTCCAACCAATGAAAGTCTTTCGTGATGCATTGTATTGTTGCTGATAAAGTCTCGTAAAAATGATATTGGTCAAAATGGCCAAAATTTACAGTTTTCCATGGAAATTTTATATATTTGTAACAGTATATTTTTAAACACTCGAGTAGATTTTTAATAAAATCTATTAATAAAAGCTTGTATTCTTTATTGTGTTATTAACTTTTTCTCGTGCTTTGCACTTTAATTTCTTTGCTACAAATATTACATTCTAGTCGTCGGTAGTTCTAGTGTTAATCGATCTTTAAGAATAATGTGAATAATAATATTCAAGTACAATATCGGCGTGATGATAATATTTTTCAAATATAATAGTATCGTTAGATTTTTATGGCTAGTTTTGACCATCGTAAAATAATTTCGTAATCCTCCAATTGAAGGAAACTACGTTTCAGGATAATTTCGATTTTGCAGACTCGGTCTCAGAATTTTAGAAGATAGGTCGAATTTGAAAGAAATTCGATAACTTTAATAGGTCAACCCTTAATTTATTAAATTCTTTTTTTTTTTTTTTCTTAATGAAAGGAACTTTCGCGACTGAGAATTCTCATTGAATCTGTTAGAAAAGTAATTGTAAATACAGTAACAGTAATTGATAACGTCGTCTGCTGTGGTAAACACACGAGACGAAGGTATTTCTCGCACGCATGAATTACCTCGATCCTACATCGATCCTCGACAAAATTTTCCCCCCGATTCGAGCCGAACGGGTCACCTGTCTCGGTCACGTTTGCGTTCTTCAACGTACATATCGAAAGACGGCGATAGCGCACGGATACGCCGCCAGCGATCACACGAAATTTGTTCAATTGTAATTCAGGTGACAAGGCGAAAGGAAGTCGAAGAATGCCGGTCCTCTATGCAGCTATTCGCCGTCCTTCTTGGATGCCAAGGTAGTGTATGTGCGAACCGTTTAATGAGAAAGTGATGTAGGCCAATTTTTTTGCCTATTTGGTTTGGTACTAGTACTGTTGAAAGCTTAATGACTTGAGCTTAGGTCATTCTTTGACCGTAATTTATATTATAATATTTAATATTAAATATTAAATATTAATATTTTATAATATATAATATTAAATATTAATATTTTATAATATATAATATTAAATATTAATATTTTATAATATATAAATTTAGTACATTAACTTTGTAATAACCATTTGCAATTTTTTATTATAAACGACCGAGATGAAAGAGAGATTCGGAAGGAGAACTTTGTTATGTGAGTCTTGAGTAATGTTTATAAATTTTTTTTTCATTTTATATGGAAAAATATCGTACTTGTATTACACTAGACTTTTGAGCGAGGGTGTGCATCAACTCAACCCTCCACAATCTACACCACACACGATCGATCCAAGCCACTCACAAACCACCCACGCTTTAACCTTGCATCCCTCTATGACGTCAGAAGAAGAAGAAGAAAAAAAAAAGAGGAAAAAGCTGACTAGATTTAATCTAATTTGCCACGTTAACAAACTACGATACTCTTTTCGAAAAATTCTCGTCAGCGTATGTACGTTGAAAAAACTCAATCCTCTGCAATCTATAATCGACTCTCACCCATAAACCTACACTTTAACATCGCACCTCTTAATCAACATCCGTAATAGTGACAGAGAAACAAAAAGTAAACTCGAATAATACATCGTAAAACGGAATATTCTGCTTTTTAACCTCTTAGCCACGGTGAAATTTTTCGCGAAAGTTGTATACTTCTGCGTGACAAGGTAAATTGTGTAATAGCGAAATTTACATCCGGCGGTGTTCTATATTATCGTTCTAATTACGTTGGCGTAAACTTCGAGTAAATTGAAATTTTGAAATTAAAAAAAAGTGAATAAATTAAAGTTCGTAAAGTCTACTAAAGAGCTACTAGAGTGTCGTTCAAAAAAAGTGATATCCGTGACGATCACGAGGTTAATCCACGGGACAGTGACTGAGAATTTTATATTCACTGATATATAATATAGAGACACTACTCCGACTTGTTCTCAGTATCTACACAACTTCTGATATTTCATTGTCAATCAGAATTAATTATTTAACTCGTGTGATGCACGTTGACCGTGTTATATAGTCAGTGTTCAACACCAGTGGATTTATCAACAAATTATAATCACGCTTTTCGAAAAACACTTTCGTATCGTCGGAAACGCAACTATCCGCAATCTACGCCACGTACGATCCCACCTACTCTAACCTTACACCCCTCAATTTGCATCCGTAGCGTCGCACGTAGATGAGAAAAAGCAAAGACGTACAATAAACCGTTGACTAGACTCCTACACGCGAGACGATTAAAAGTCGCCAGAAGGGATGCGAGAGAGCGAGCGACCGACCAAAAGAGAGAGAGAGAGAGAGAAATATTTTGTTTGTTTCCTGCGACGATCATCCGTGTTTGGCACGGCCAAGTATTTTTGTGGAGTGGGTGGGACGGCGTTGCGGGCAAAAGGGTCAGGCTTTGCGCATAATCCTATGACCTCTTTAGCGCGAGGATCCTTCGAAAAGGATACACCGAACGCGCTATCAATTCCGCCTTCTGCCGTCGGCGTTCCGGCAGGATTGTTGGCCGTGTTCCAACGCACGAACCAGCAGAAAGCTCGAACGCCAGAGGCGACCGTCCGCGACTTTTCCCCCGATCCCTTATTGGCCTGGCTGGCATTTGTCTCGCCGCGATGCCTCGATCCGCGCCGCTATTCCTCCTCGGTACGCTCGTCGCGCAGTGATTTCCATCGAGGATAACTTCCTCCCGACGAGACGCACTCGCGCGGTTTTTCGCTGCGTTGTACAATCGTCTCGAATATATTTGCATTTAGAGAAATCGGTAGATCGGGAGGATAATTGGAGTGTAAATGTCCGAACGCAGTTGCGTCCAGTATACAGCAAGATTCGTTTGTGGTTCGTACGTAACGTGGATGATTGATCGAGTGTGAACTGGCCTCTTCTGGTTGGAATTGTTGTTGCATGTATGTACCGAATGTTTGGGTAAGAAGGGAGATCTCGTAGCGTTGGAGCTGAATGGAAAGTTCTTTCGGGTTTTCCTCTTCGAAAGGCTAAAGGAACGTTTAGGTGATGAAGTTGCTCCTGCAACTTTGTATTTAAATAATCGTGGGAATTTTTTTTTTTTTGTAAGTCTGCGTAATATTTTTAAATATTTTTCATCGATGACAGTGTAATGGAACATGAGCGTCATTATCATATTGATCAACTTTGAAGCAAATTTGAAAGTGTATACACGTATTTGATAAAAGAAGATATTACAAAAGTATTTAAACAGCCACAAGACATTAATATTCATTAAAAAAGATACTTATTATATATTTAAGATGGCTCTTGTGGCTCTACACTAATTTTTTTTTTTTTATTAAATACATGTTTGCAACTTCTGTATACATTTTTTAGATTGGTTTCAAATTTTATCAATGTAACTTCTGACAATCGTGTCTCATTACAGTATCAATAAAATTTCCAAAATATTTTATTACATTGTGTGCTATATATTTTAGAAAATAATTTATATTTGACAAAAGTGATGGATATGTGTAATACGCATTACAAAATAGATTACGTTTTTAACGAGTAACATAATTGGAACAGTGTTAATAGCAACAGAGAGCCTTTTGCTAAGATTTGTTAACCTTCAGTTGTATAAAAAGCACTTACGTCGTTCAAATAATTATTAATAGTGTTACAATTATTTAAAAAAAATAGAAAACTTGTCTTTTCTAATTATTAAGATTTAAAGAATACAATCTTTTATTACCAGCAATGTAAAATATTCCTTCATCTCCATGTTTGAAGGAACTATAAGATTAACTCACCTTTGGCCCTTGTATTTCAAAAATTGTTACAACACGCTTAATCCAATGAATTCACTGTATTTTTTTTTAATGAAATTTTACGGGGATTTAATACAACACTAACAATCATCCAACGATTTTAATTATTATATTTTTATAGTCGAGCTTTGATAAAATTTACAGTAGCAAAGAAACGTTTCATTCAGTTCAATAATATTGTTTTCAGTCTCTGTTAGTAAGTTAGTTTGCGAAGAAGCCATTGTTCAACACTGAAGGCCACGATGTTGGGACGTTGCCCGATCAAAAATCTTGACGACTTCCTGCCTGTGAATCATCGTTAGCCGCGAATTTTCGAGCCTTTTTCGTGTCATTGCGCTTCACTTCTCTGTTCCACGATTTATTCGTGCAGCAATGAAGTCAAAAGACGTTATTTACGATTAATAAGGCTTGTCACGTTGTTTTTCGCGATTGATCATTTCATCGTTTCTAAATTTTTCCTCGCGTTCAGTTTCAGCGTTTTTATTATCGATACACGCAGAGTATTTCCAGGTAGCCAGAAAAGATTAATACAGATTCTCGTGAGTTGCTTGAAAGTCACGCTAGTTATTCGCAAACATCAAATTATTTATACGATCTTTTTGTACGAGATCATGTTGAAACGTACTGTAAATTTCTTGAGAAGTAGCAGTACAGGAACGGTGAGCTGCGATTAATTATACAAATTCATACTTTTATAGAGATAATAAAATGTGAACGAAATCTAGATATTAAAATTATTATTTCACATTTCAAATATCACAATGAATTATTTTTGTATGTTTTACAATAAACAAAATGAAACGTGGATAGAAAATCGTTTCACCTACTAAACATCTTCTGAATATTTTGTAGTAAAAAAAAAAAAAAAAAATAAAATAAAAGCTAGATAGAAAATTATAACAAATATCATATGATGTCTTGTAAGAAAAATAGAATTTAGTGCCATAACGAATATTGTGTTTTAAATATTTTATACATGCGCTTTTAAATTTCTCAAGAACGCAGAGGAATTCGCGAATTTAATGATCACGTTTTCGGACAATAGGGATTAAAGGATTCACAAAGGTGAACTTAATCAATTTGGTTTGTAAGAGGTTGAGATATATGTACGTCGAAAGAGAAGAAAGATAAGAATCCAGGCAATCTGTGTCAAGATGCATCTAAATACATGTCTTGAATCTCACGAAGGACACGCTGAATAGCCACTTCGAATTTATTTTTCACTTAGTTACTATTTTTCTTTTTTATAAATGCTTTTCTTTTTTTCTTTTTTTTTTTTTGGCACTCAAATTTACTTTATAATTATAGAATGTGAAGTTCAAAGGAAAGCTTGAATTTAAAAGAAGGTTTTAGTGAAAAATTGTACATATATATAAAAAATTATATATTATGCATGCAAAATTCTTTAAATCAGCAATTTTTAACGTGTATCATTGTTACATAGGATCTTTGTATACTACGTCTAATTTTATGTTCGGTAAAAAATGTGAGCAGATATAGGTATTTTAAATATAATAATCACGCGAAATAAAATCTACCTATCTGTTTCGGTATCCGTGCATTAAGAAATATAGAATTTCCCCGATTAAAACGCAGATATATTAATTACATGTCTACATATTTTTTTTTAACTTAGCAATGCTTTTACGTAGAAATGCATACTTAGTAGTGTAGATAAGAAATACGAACACTGATCATCTCCGGTGATAAAAATATCAAAAAGAGGAACATTATAGATTCACTTTCTCTTTGAAATTTATTATATTTGACTATTTCGTTAATTATATAATTATGCCTTGTGTGCATTACATAGTTGTAATACGTAATTTAATTTGACAGCTTCTATACCAAAGAAATTAACTAAATTAATTAAATTTGGGAGTGTATCAACAACTTTTGATTATTAATCTACATCAAATATCGGAATTTTATGAAGAAGAAAAAAAAAAGTAAAATACATTTTATAAGCGGTAGAATACATTGTATATCCGTTTTCGAAACGAGATACACTTTTCACTTCTTAAACGACTTAAAGTTAGAAATATTAAACTCAGAAAAAGTGGTTATCCTTGTCCGAACATTTATTGCGACGGAGTTTAAACGAAAATAAGATCAAAGGGTAAGAAGATTACGATGTGTGCTGTGTGTTTTAATCTTTCAGAGGTATTTGAAAGATTTTACAGCTATGAAACGTAGCGTACACCGACGAACGATGTAGCAGCCGCCGCTGCTGTGGTTTAACCTTGAAATTAGGATTTCTGCGGCGGATGGGGGCCCGATCAAGACGTTGCAGAAGACGTCAGCGAAATGCCTCTTAAGTGAAATGATCTATTTGAAGCCAGACAGTCGAAACTAGGTCAACTCACTGTTGCGCTGAAATGATACCGAGTGCATTTCGCATATAATAACGCACAGGCTGCGCCTAATTCTCAGTCAGTTCCATTTCAAATTGAATATATCCATTATTTAAATAGCTTTAGAAAATCATATGACCATAATCGTTAATTTTCGTTATTTTTCTATGCAATCACAGTATCACAAAAGTATTCAGTCACTTGATCATTTTACCTTGGTTTTTAGAACCAATGGCAATTTTATTTTATAACTTAAGCGTTTGATTTTTATCTTGAAACTGGAATAACAAGTATCCTTGGAAATGTATTTTTTTCTCTATCTTTTTCTCTATCTTCTTGTAAATTATGTCTGTAATAATTGTCACCAAAAGAAAATGAAAGAAAAAATTAGAAACTGACAGAGAAAAAGAGACATTTAGTATTATAATGATATGATAATCAGAAGTCGTACATGTATTTTTGAAACATATCTATGACTTCATGAAAACTTGTTTCTCGAATCACTATGTCACACGACAACTTATTTCTTTTATTCCCGTACTTTTATAATTTCCGAATTAAAACATTGATCTTAAAAAAAATTAACTATTTGTGAATGTCAGATAAATCACTTGACTATTGATCTTAAAATACTATTTGCAGCAATTAGAATATTAACGATTCTTATGTGAAAGTCGCGATTTTTAATTATAATAAATAGATGGTTGATATCTATCGTAAACATCGATATCTTTAATAAATAAATAATTTATATTAATAATTTAATAATTAATAATTTAATAAATAAATAATTAAACTAGTTAATCGGCTTTGATTCGTTTCGCGGGCTACAGTACAAGATCGTGGCAAGATAAATCGAACAAAGTTTCCATTCAAGCCGATCGGGATGTTTGTGGATTACGACCTGAATAATTCAGTCGTTTTATCAGCTTCCTTATGCAAATTAACTCGCTTTGATGGTCTATCTATAGTTATAATATATACGCGAGTCTCAACCGAGTAATTGGAAATCCAAATTGCAATTATTTGGTGCAAAACGGTGTGTCGGTGAATCGTATGGTCTCTCCTTTCTCTCTTTTTTATCGCCCAGTGGTATAGAGTGAAAGCGAGATTGTTTTCCAACAATTATGCGCGAGTTTCTAATTCTAGGTTGCACGTGATGATATTATCACTCGGTTAAAAAATATTCATATGAAAATGCAAGCTGAGTTTTACTCAGAAGTTGCAACATACGACTATTGCACAGTTCTGATTGCTGGGAATAATTTTACTTTCATTTTGCACGAGTTGGTGGCAAAGGAGAAAGATAAAAAAACAAAAGGAGGAATTGTAATTTTCTGCTATAATATTTCAGTTTTCTAAGTTTAATTTATTTTGTAAGTATCGTCGCATGTTTCAACGTGTATTTCAACCTTTACTTTTTTTTTTTTTTTTTTTTCGTACGAACCGCTTCATTTCATCAATAGATTCTTTCATTCAACTCTCTCGTGCTTACAAAAGACTGTGTAATTCTCCTGATTTAAATCAAGCACAATGCCTGCCATTCAAAACCTCTACAAAATGAAATCAAGAATGTACATGTGAATATGCGTGCAATTTTTCGATTTCTAATATTAACCTTCTTTCACATCAATCGTTACAAATGTTATCGTTGTCGTATATTACTTTACAAAGATCATTTTTAATATTTTGCAAAAATCGTCGATCTCTAAATATCACGCGTGTATTTCGTGATAAAATTGTTATCAAATCAGGATTCACCAAACATTCATCGACTAGAATAAAGGTGGAAAAAGAAAAGACTATTCAAAAACTAAATTTATTAATGTTTCGATTAACATTATTGACGAATTATTCATCGATTATCGATCATTTCAGCGGAGAACGCGTGCTGAGGTCGCGTCAGCACGATCGTGGTACCAGCCAGGAGAGACGGTACAAGCGAAGCCATCGTCGATCACCGAGCAGTGGTCGGCAACACGGACATCGTGATCGCGATCGTGATCGCCTGGCGCATCCCACTTCGTCCCGGCGTGCAAGGATCTATCGGCACCATGTCTCGTCGTCGACTAGCCAGGATCGGCACAGGCATCGTTCGCCGTCCTCCAGAAGTCAGGTGAGTTTGAATGGTGCCGACAATCGACGTGAATTCGTCGTTGCATTCTGCCCGGTCTTATATCTTCATCTGATATTATACCGTTTGACGCATACCCCGCGCGTCTGACGTATATTACGTGGAACATTCACGCGAACAACGCGAAATCGTTTCTCGATTTTGTTCTCGCGATTTTACCCACCCTGACAACCCCGTTTTCCTAAAGTATCATGCTTAGTGGCAGATACTGTGGTACTCTTTCGATTGGGAAGGTTAATACTTAGCTTGGGAGTTTGATGGTTTTGAAAAGATTAAATGTTTGACTATGTTTGACTATGTACTTATTTATTTTATAATATTGAATATTCTTTTAGCAAGCACTTTTTCTCTTTATTCTTATTGAAGAGATTTAAAACGATTTGATATTGTTTGAGAGGGTTGGATATTGTTTGAGGATGTTTGTTTCACGCATACTTTCGTTTGACTTTAATGAAAGCTACCAGTGTAGTTGACGAACGTGGCATTTTAAACATTCCTTTTTTTTTCTGTTTTATTGCAAAAGTAATGGTTTGAAGAGTTGGTAGATCGTGGAGAATTATTTCGCGTATTCGTTGGATTCAGGACTTGCTAGCCTTATTACTTTAATAAAAATAAAATATTACCTGTGCATCAATGTATAACTCGATTGATAATTTTTAAAATTCGATCAAAAAAATAAAAATTATATTATTCGACAATAATTTACTACCGTTTACATACGATAATCATTTGATAATAAATTAAAGATCAATTAATTAATTAATTGTTCAACTGCAATAAACGTATATGTATCGCATCGAAGAGATTACAGACGAAGAACACGCATGTACATGCATTTAATGAAGGTTTCGAAAGCGAAACTACAAATTGGTTTTAATAATTACACCCTCTGCAGTCTGACAAGACTTGACAGGAAAAGTTTCAAATTACAAACAAAGTAAGTCAGCTTTGTCATAAATCCAAGCTACACGCAAGGGATGAAAAGTTCGGTCGTAAAAACGATATTCCGATTTGCAGATAGTCTGCATACTTCGAGCAGCGATGGTGTATGGACTATTACTATCGCGTACCGTAACGTGTTGCGTGTTCACCTTTTAGTAATTCTAAAGATCTGAAGTTTTGTGGTACGTGGCCCTAAATAACGAGAAATCTTATACAGGAATATATGCATATCTGCAGGCAAATGTTTGCAAATGCCTGCATTCTCGTCGTGAGTTACGTAGCACTGTGATTGCGAATACGTATATCTTTTAGTCATTATAACTGTTCTATTTATTATTCGGGTACATTCGAGTATTTCTTTGTCTTACAAGGTACAAATATTGCGATTAATTCGAAAATCGTGTTTTAGATGTATGACTTTCGTCACAAATGTACGATAAAAATATTTTACTGCATCGAGTTTCTGAATATATTCTACGGACCGTTTGTAAAATTCTACAAAGACTTATACAAATTTTTGCCCGTTAGATACATAGACGTCATATCAAGCTTCTTCGTGTCTACACTATTCATAGAATTCTACAGAAAAAAATATAGAAATGTATATAGATTTTTGTCGGCAGATATGCATTGAATATTTAACAAAACACAAGTTCGTGAAATTCTCTACAGCATACAGATAGTATGCTGTGCAACACACGGTGGTAATAGTCCATGTACGATCTATAGAATCATGAAACATGAAATATGAATATCTACGGACGTCCCGACGTAACTCTCGCAGTTAGCGCAATATAGCGATTTTTCGTCCATTATCCTTCCTCGAATTTTTCACGTTGCACTTGCTCGAGTGAATCATCCTCCGTGTATACACCCCCGCGTCTTTTATCTCTGAAAAGGAGCAGGGATATCCATATTTTCTTTGGCACTTCTCGTTCCAAAGAATGGAAACCTCCGGCGATACAAATACGCCGTCGTGAGCGAATCAATCGAACGGAATGAACCGAGGAGAAAAGCTACTAAATCACAACAGAGATTCTAGCTCTCGAGGTTCGACCAAGAAAACAGACACTCGTAAACGCAAATTGACTGAGAAAAACTGCAAATGCAATGTTAACGTTCCTTGCGCGCTGGCAACTGGATTGCGGATCATAACGAGTGACCGAATACCGCGTATACAATAATTCGTCGCTTTCTATTTGAACCCGTCGGGGTATATATTGATATTGCTGGATAGAAACGATTGAGAAATGGTAAATTGATTATTTGTTTTGCCTGGGTTATACTTAAATATACTCAGAACTGAGGAAACATTGCAATTTTTGGACAGAAGATTCTCAAAGTGCGTGGTACGCTCGTTCCAGCGCAAGAGGTTAATGGGTCAAAGAAACTTGAGAGAAAATAGAAGAAAAGCACGAGTATCGAACATATACGGTCGTTCTTCGATGGATTAAAGATGGATTAGCAGAGTTGCAATTGAAATGTTACGTTACGACGCTCGTTCTTCGATGGATTAAAATAATCGAAGAAGAAGCTGTTTCACAATACGCATAACGTGGAAAGAATTCGACAGTTCAAAAGGAAGACGTTGAAAGGGAAGGAAGAATGGGGGGGAAGATCGGTGCGCGAAGAAACACGTGGGGGGATCAGCCTCTGGAGAAGGCCGCGTTGGAACTAGCGCGTCGACGACGCGTGTACCCGGAGCAAATGCCGATGATTCTTCTTTCTTAGCCAGCGTCGGCTATTTTCGACCGGCGACTATTTTCGAGGGGGACTCGTCACGCGGTTTCGCCGCGGTTTTAGTGCGAGTTTGCGCCAGATGGCCAGCGCAACGCCGTCGTTCTCCTCCGCATCGTCGTCGGGGAAACGCGCCGACAGGGGAGCCGGTTCGCCGGAAGATCGGACACCCGCCTAACAACCGTTGTTTCCTCGTCTTCGCCGTCGATTCCGGAAGGGAATTCTCTCTTCCCCACCCGCGATCGAACGCGAAGAAGAAACGCCTAGATCGTACAAAATTCTCTCGTTGAGATGTAAATGGAGGAAGAGGAAGATTTGTATCTCTCCGATCATGTATCGAAGTGGTACACGAAGTGTGCGTTGAGAATTCATTGAACTGAGAGAAATTCTGTGCGTTTGTTTCGAGAGGTAGGACCTACGTAAATATTTCTCGTCGATTTAACCCTGCCGCGTTCTTTCGCGACCTTACCTACTCGCTTCCTCTCGAAATGAAAACGATCATCTCAAGTTTGCGACACAACACGAGGAAGTTGCGCGTATTAGTGTGCGCGTGATCTTCTTGAATTCATTACACGAACTGAATCAAGTCTTTGCAAGTGTTGAAAAATATTCGACAAGAGGTGTCGGTATAACGTAAGTAAAATTTGTTGCCAATCGTGCCGCTTGTAATGTACGTTTTCCCTTCACGAGTAGCCGCCTTTAGCCAGTACTAAAAAAAAAAAAAAAAAAACAAAAAAGAAAATGATTTATAAAAATGATATTGACTCACGACGTACGATGGTATTGTTTACCATACTTGCTTTGCTTAAATGATTATTACTTATCGCGAGTCGTCTCTGCGGAATCGGAGAAGCACCGATTGAAATACGAGAAAATATGAAAATTCTCGAGGATCGCGGCAGGGTTAAGGTAACCCGAGAGATCTCGGCGAGAGCCGCTGACCCAGAATCGATCACAACCTGGATTTAGAAATACGCGTTTGTTCTTGGCAAGATGCGGCCGATGTGAGGAGAGTGGCGCGAGTGGCCTCTGGTCAAATCCAACGACTCGACGATTTTACCACGATTTTACTTAAAGAAACGGGGGAAAGGACGTAGGCAAGGTAATTGTCGTTCAATCTGGATCATCCTGGAGGTTGGTGCGTGCGTGGCGGCGACGGTGGCTTGGCTGACGGTCCGCCACCCTCCGCTTCGTCCTCGTCGTCGTCGTCGACGATGGCTAATCAAGAGATGAACTTACTGATGTCTGGGAACCAGGTGCCCTGGTGGCCTAGACAGGGATGGGAGCCTTGGGTGCAACCACGGGGAAATAACGTGGAGCTGGCCAGGGAATTGGACACGAAGATCGACGTGACACCGGAGTCGAATGAAACTTCGATCTCAGAGGTAGCCAAAGAAAAGAAAGAGTCGAATTTTTCTTTTTCCTTTTTTTTTTTTTTTTTTACCGATTCCAAACGAAAGCGGCTGGTGGTCGTTTTGCAAATTCATTCGATCCTCTTTCGAACAGAATGACACTCGACAAATAATCATCTTTCCCCATAATTCGAATCTGCGTTTAAACGTTTAACATCGGGACATCGTTGACAAATATCGGGATGAAACTCACCTAAGCCAGAATCTACCCTAACACGCGATTCGCCTACGCGTGTGCTTGTTTCGGTTGGCCATTTGCCATGACGGGTGGCAGCAGCAACGGTGACACGACACGAGCCAATGAAACAGTCAAGAAAGCAAGCGGGCAAGAGCGTTAGTTAGCCAGCCACTCGCGTTAACATTTAATCGCGGCGACCGACGACTAGCCACCTCGAGCTTTCCACGCTTTTATGAGGCGATCGTTGCGCACGCGTTTCACGATTCTTGGTTATATTTGGCAGGATCGTGCAAGCGGTAAACACGCATGCGAACGTCGAGCAGAGAAACACACTCGGGGAACGCAATGGTAATAGGTTTCATTTTCTTTCATCGCCAGTCTTTGTCTCTTTTCGTTTCCTGATTGCTTCGGGAATTTCATATTAAATTGGTTGGTTCATTGATGATCAATCGGAGGTTTGTTCAATTTAATTTGTCGAGGAGATCAAGCTTGCGTTGATTTAATCGTACTTTAGTTGTGTTTATTGAATTTTTAATTTGTTTGCAGTCGTTCTTTGAATATTTTTCTTTTTTCTTTTGAGATTTTTAAAAAATATCGCAATGTTTGTGTTATTGTGGTAAATTATTACTTGGTCCTTACGGATTAAAGATCAAGGACAATAATTCAATAGGATTCGCTTAACTGCCTTCTCGTATATTCTCCTTCGTTAGCCATAATTTTTCAACAATGCAGTTTTCTTTATTTTTTTTTTTTTTTTTTTATAAAAATCAAAGAAACAATGTCATAATAGATCAAAAAGCTTGGTTATTACTGGGTTGATGGTAACTTGTATAATATTATGCATCCTTGATCAATCTTCAAGCATGAAAAATGATATGATAAAACGATAGAAGATATGAAACAAAGAAACGCGTGGCAAGCAGCAGCGCAATTAATGCGGAAGTGATAAGAAGCGTACGAATTTTCAGTAATCGGAATATTGCTTTCATGCAAATGGGCAATATTTCTAGTTTATATTTTTAGAATCGCCGTTTTTCTTTTTTTTTCCTTTATCTAACTCTTCTATATCTCATTGAAGTCGTTTATGTTTATTCTTCCAAGTGGCTACAAAAAACATATTCCCGTGTAACGTTTTATAATATTTTGATACAACGTATTTTCATCAGATTCAACATTTCATTTTCATAGTGTCAAATTTTAATCGCGATGAAATAATCAAGTGATTATTTTAGAAATTGAATATTCTTAGACCTAATTAATTCACACGTAAATACTATAATAAATGTATCAACATTTGTATACATCTTGTCAGTTAATATTAATGTTAATGTCAATGCGATGTATATTAATTAATATAGTACTAAATTAAAAGAACCAATATAAATATTCGTATTAATTTAATTTGTTAATATTTATATTATGTCTGTTATTTTTATCGTTATTTTATTATATTTATAATATATTTATATATTTTATTATATTATATATATATATTATTATATATACTTTTGTCGCCACTTGCAAGTATCAGTTAAAAATGAGCGAGACACAGGACAAACGCAGACAGTTGTCAAGTAGTATAGGTCAGGCACGGTGCATCACCAGTCAGATTGTCAGATAAGTAGTATAGAACTACAAATGTTACGCCTGATAGCCCGATATACAAGTTTTATAGGACGCACAGGGCGTGCATCATCGTTTATATCGAACAAGTAGTGTAGGTCGCACGTAGGTTGGTATCAGACAAGTAGTGTAGGGTCAGAAACGTTACGTCATTGATACACGATGTGGACAAGTACATAGAAGAACACGAGCGTGTCATAAATTGCATCGAATAAGTGGGGCAAATTTAGAAAAGTTAATCAAATAACTACGCGAATTAATCTCATTGAACTGTGTCAAATGAAATCGTCATTAGACTCGCTTTTAGGCAACGAACGAACTTCTTGTTCTTTGTTCTTATCTAGACAGATAAGCGTTGAAAGCTCGAGGTTAAAGTACGGCCATAGTGTGCATGAATCTCATTTTCTTGGTATATCACGTTATAAAAATTTGTTCATTGTTACAACATAATTTTCTCGATGAATTCGCTCGAGATACATTCTCCTGGCTAAAAATGTGGGAGTTTTGTGGGAAAACTCGCTGTTAACATATTTTGTACATTTTAATACATTTCTCTAGAACTCTTCTCTCTAGATCTGTTAAAGTGTACATAGCCGATTTTAAAATTACAAAGAGATCGTCGAGTATTCAGTGGCTTCAGGAATGTTGTTAAATAATATGTTATTCTTGCTATATCTCTGTGCAATAAATCAACTAGTTCTTCGCCAGGAGATTAAGAAATGGTGTCAATGTTGTTTAGTATACCGATAGCAGATTATACGTGTCTATTGATAGTCAATTGAGTTCCGCAATTTGTTGACCATTACTCTGAATTTGCGCTCGAACATCAATCGCTTTTAGTCATTCTGATCTTTCAATCGATAGTAATATTGTATGAGTATTATACGTATCTATTGGCAGTCAATTGTTAACTATTGAAGTTAAGTTCTGAAGCTGCAGTGCGGAACACTTGTTATTTCAATTGAGTTTGCAATTGTTTTGTTCTAAACTTGCGAAATTTTATGCAACAGTATTGAATTGAACAATTTATTCCAATTTTCTTCTTAATAAATAAATGTTTAATACTTCACGCGGATGAGAGGAAGATATATAAATGTAACTTTTTTTTATTATTATTGGTATCCGCGACATTACTTTAAATTTTCTATTGTTATTATTATTTTGTTACTCACGGAAGTTGCATTTATAAAAAATGTATGTCGGTGGACTGAAAGATCATTTACTATTGTCAGACATTTTATTTTAGAATATTAAGATATTCAGAAAGTAAGAATTCTATTTCTCTAATTTTAAACGCACGTGAACGTCACTGGATCATGCAGATTTTAAGCGACTGAAGGCAATACTTGTCATTCTCTTGCAAGAGTGAATGTTTGTCTCAAACACCATTTGCCTTGTTTACCTTAGAAATTCATACTATTTTTACAATTTACTCAAAATTCTCGTGATCCCGATAAACCTTGATCTCGGCAAAATTTAATTAAGCACACATTGATGAGTCAGTGCTAATAGTTAATAATAAACACGAATGAGCAAATTCTGATACACACACAGCCGTTGTGTAGTAGCCGATTCTTCGTCTCTTACACTCCGACACGAGAATCTTCTCGATGGTGCAACGATCGCGCGAAAAAAAAAATCGATGGGGCGCGTTCTAATTACGCGCGATATGTATCTCCGTCACCGGTGTAGATCGGAATTTAATGCCACGAAAGCTGCGTTGCTCCCGTTCGAAACGCGCTCCTCCTCCGGTTTCGTAATTTCTATATGTGTCAAGGTGCGCGCGGCGCAAAGACAGAAAACGAAGCAGAGAGACATCAAGAAACATCAGGCACGCGTGTGCGAAAACGCGCCCTCTATTCGTATACTACGCGTATAGACTCTGATGGTCAAATTGGGACCGATTAGTCAATTTGAAATGAATTTGTTTGAAGCAAGTCAATTCCTTCGATCTCTCGTCGTCGAATTTTTTTTCGTCTTCAAGGCACTTTTCAGGTTGAAAAGCGAACCTGCGTCTAATATGCACTTCGTCGAGATTATATCGTTTCTATAGTGATTTCTTTGGTTCCTTCAGGTTGTACCAAACTGGGCGGGGAAAGGAAATTTTCTTTTTTTCGTTTAATCACTCGCGCTGGCAACCGACTGCGGACCATAACGAGTGGCCAGATCGTATACGATAATTCGTCGCTTTCTTTTTGAACTCGCCGGTATTGATAGAAATTATCGGGAAGTGATGAATTTTGTTATATTGCTTTGCCTCTTTTGTTTTACTTAAATGTACTTGAAACTGAAGAAGAAAATATTGCAATTTTCGAAGAAAAAGTTCTCGACGTGCGTGGCGCTCAGAAGTTAAGTCAGAGCTACACTTCGTTCGCCGGAGAATTAATTCGTAGACCTAAAACAGTATGATCTTAACTCGATAATCAGAGGTTGTAACTTCGAGATGCACACACTCGCGACAATTCCTCCTCATTGCTTTCGTTGCTTAATTCGTCAAATCCGTCGAAACTACTAACGCCATCCTCGTACGATGATCAGATTCATCGGAACTCTGCCAGCAACCATAACCTAAACACCGTAAAGACACTCGCGACCTCGCCGTGCACCAGGAAGCGGTGGCTTTGCCAAGACGATCCTGAGGAGCGTGCCGAACTTCGCCATTCCGAACAAGCGAGGGACAAATTTACGTAATACTCTATCACTCTGTTTCTCTCTCTTTCTCTCAGTCCTCTCTTCGTCTCTGCAATCGCTCCTCTCTCTCTCTCTCTCTGTCTCTCTCTCTCTCTGTCTCTCATCGAAAAACCAAGCAGCGTGTTCGTTTTCGAACATAACAGAGAGAAATAGATCGGCCAGAGAGAAGGGAAGGGAAGGGAACGGTTTAGAGAAACAGAAACAGATAGAAAGAGAAAGATGGATTTAGAATGGTCGGTGGGTATAGCTCACCACCGCTGCTCGATATTTTTAGTGCGGCGAGAGTATTTGGCGGGGCGCATCGAATCCTCTCCTCCTTCTCCTCTATCTCCTGGTCCTCGTCTTCGTCTTCGTGGACGGCCGACGTCGGCTCCGTGACCGCCGATTTTCTCTGGTCGTGCTCGCTCATCTTTAGTGCCTTCGTCGGCGTCCTTGTCGCACGATGCTCGCACCTTTCGCGCCGACTGACGAACCAGCGGCCCGTGGACCCCGGCGATCGTTGGATCGCTCGTAATCCTCCGTGAGATCGTGATTCTTTAATTTCCTATTCGTTCGTGTTCGTGAGTGGCGTGGGTGGCCTCCTCTCTGCGAAAAAGAGTCAGAATCCGTCTTCGACTCTTCGAAGGTCGAAGGTGGTTCTCGAGTGTGCGAATTTCGAATCGTGGCTGAGACGCGTCGAGAGGGCACGCCGAGCAAGGTCTGTCGGAACGACCTTGACTGTTCTGACCACGGTTCGAGATTCGAGGAAAACGCGTGCGTGTCGGATCACGCGAAAACAAACGGGACTGCGAGAGGAATCGGGCGAAATACAGGAGTTCGTGATCCAATCGGGAGGGGAGGAGAATTATTGGCGACGTTAAATCGTGGCTCTCCGCCTGATTTCACTTGAAATCGACACATTCGAGGCATCGTGCGATCAACTTGGACAACTGGAAGGATTCAAAGCGACGAGTTCTCTACTGGATCTCTGATGGGAAATCGACGATTTGGATACTTCGAGCAACTGTTAGATCATCTCGCGAAGATTTTCTAGTTGATTTTCGAGGATAAACGAACGAAGAGTTACCTACTCTACCTGCAACTATCGACAGCATCGAAATTTCGAAAGTATTATAATCAGAGTGAATGAGGCATTATCCAATCAAACGAGATCATTAGTCGAGCGATCAGATGATCGACGAAGATCCACTTGATCTTCATTTTGAGAGGAATCGGACGAACGATCGCGAGCAAAGAATTTCTGCTTAATTTTAATAGAGAAGAAGAAATCATCCAGCCTGATCAAGCAGCAGTCGGACGATCGACAAAGATTCAGGATGAAAGTTCAAGTATTGAGAGAATTGACTAATCAATCACAGATCGTCGAGTGAAAGTATCGTCTGTCGGATAATCGAGCGGAGCTCGATTTTTCATCAAAGTCGGATAAAATTTTCGAGGATCGGCCAAGGTTAGAGAGGCGGTGTGGTCGAAACTACGTCCCGATGTTCATCTTCGCGCCGCGCGACAACATGTCGACGTCTCGTCAAGATTCGACGGGGCGGCGGAGTCGTTACGCGCGTTCGTCGACGACCACGAGCGTCACCCAGCTGCTCAGCGACTCGTGTTCCAATCTCCTGCAACGATTGACCACCAGGGTGCGAGGAATGTCGACGGTGAACGACAACGTGAGTAACAACAAACCGGTCGCGAGACGTTCGCCGATCGTCACCCAGCTGAACAGCGCGAGAGCGCGGATAGAGGACAAGTACTCGGCCATCCTGGACAAATATTCGCGAAAGAAGCACCAGGACCGGGCGGATCGACCCTCCGTCGACTACAGACGAACTCGCGAGCGCGATCGAGATCACGCGTACTTCCGTCGCGAGGACAGCCCGTTCGTTCGCGACGAGAAAACTCTGGAGCCGTCGATGTCGCGGACGGTGATCAAAAGCCCAACGAGCGTGATACTCTCGGAGAAGGCCTATCCGTACGTCAAGTCCTCCACCACCGTGAAGGAGTTCAAACGCGAGAAAACGCCTGGCTATCACCGCGCGGACAAACAACACTCTCTGCTGAACTCGGACACGTGCCGCCGATACGGTAGGCACAAGTCCGGCCACGCGGAGACTCGCACGAGAAAGGTGAGACCTTATAGAAATGGGAAGAGCGAGCAGCTGGAGTCATCGTCGTCGTCTGCCGCTCTTCGGCTCGCTCGGCCGATGAAAGTGGAACCGTTGGCGTCCAAGGCGAGGAACGACGACGACGACGAGGATCCTGATAAAACGCCGACGAGCAGCGTTCACGGCGATAACGCGAACGATAACGGCGTTGTTCTTGCGACTATCGACACGACCGAGGAGGAGACTGACCCGGCGATCTCCGAGAGGGCGGCAAAGAGGAAGGAGATCGAGAGCCTGATCTTGAAGTACGCAGCGATGGAGGAGACGTACGCTCAATTGGCCGGCGGTGGAGGACAAGCGAAGATGAGGCCCAGCACCACGGACATTATCGCCAGCAAGTATAGGAAGAGCGCGCGCCAGAGCGAGCGAAAAGACGCGTTGAAGAGCGCGATGGCCGCGAGTGTCGTTAACAACCACGCGGACACGGCCCAGAACGCGATTGTAAGTTGTCGAACTGCCGGTTTCTGAATTGGGTTTCCGAATTCCTCGCCGGGCATTGTGTGTTGTGTGTCGATCTGTGGATAAGCAACACCACCGTCGCTCTCCCACCCTTTTGCTGCTGTTGTGTTGTTGCGTGCCACCTCCTGCTGCTGCTGCCACCACCAAATCCTCCTCTCTCGCCACCGGCTGTTTGTACGTTCGCTCGCGTTTAACCAAGTCTCCAACCAAGTGTTGTCTCCCCTTTTTTTAGCTGGCGAGTCCAGAAAACCGCCCGCGGTGATCTACTAATCGATACCTGTGTTTGTACAATATTCCGTCCGAGACGTAGCCAGCTGTTGGGTCGTTTCGTAAGTTCGGTTGATTTTCAGGTTGCAAGCATATCTGAGGTTTTATATCTGGGTGGGTTTACTTTTTTAATGGGTGTATATCTTGAGGAGATTTCAAGTCAATTGATACTTGATAGTTCGATAGTTAATCTCTCTTTCGTCCTGGGAGTCTTTTTTTTTATGTTAATATTGCAATATATTATTGATATATATTATTTTTATTCAATATATTATTTTATTAAAATTTTATTAAAATGTTTATTTGATGATTAAACGAATAGAAACTATAACAATTATATCAAACTGAAGAAGGTAAATTTATATCAAATTGAAGATTGAGTAGATACAAATTACACGTTGAATATTCAAGTATAGAACTTTTATCTCGATCCTTTTCAAATTTTCAACTTGAGATAATTTAATAGTGTATTTCAATACTTTGCGCTAGAAACGATGCAACAAACAACAATTACAATACTCCATATATAATTTGCGATCTCCATATCTAATATACGATCTATACTTGGCAATCTTCAATTTAAACAGTTCAAGTTTAAAATTCGAATTCAAGTTTCACAGGACTATAATTTGTTTTCTTTTTTTTTTCAAATTGAAATCATAATTCATTGAATATTGCAAGACAAGAAAGTTAAGAGGAGTTAAGAGTTTGTTTTCTTTAATTGATATTGCATGAAAATAATGATTGATAGAATAGTGAAAGGATAGCAATTGGAAGCTTCAGTCAAGAATGTTCTCGGCACGTCTATTTTCTAAATCGATCTTTCAACATTTAATAGGCATGAATTTCAAGAACGACAGAATAAATTAAGAGAATTCGTTTTATGAATCTTGTCGATGAAAAATGTTCAAGCCAGTGTGGCAATTAAGAATACTGACTCGATTTATCTGTCACATAAACTCTGCATACAGAAACACGTTCCATGTGAGATAAATTCTCGCTAGAAGGTTGGTTTTCATCGACTTTATTAAACATTTTTACTGGCTGGGAGTAGAAAAGTTGATTTTGAAATAAAAAGTAACGCTGCTCTTTCCAATTTTCGTGAAAGAACGACAGAACTTATGAAACGATCCAACATTCCAGATGTTGATGATCGTCTACTGAAAGTTGTCTACCCCTAAATTTCTCTCGCGTTTTCGAGCTATCTTATCGAGTTATTGACTTGGCTGTCTTATTAATTAGCGGGAATATAGATCGTGGTTGATATCTCATAAATCGCGTGTGATGCTTCGAAAGATGATTCAGAATTTGAAAAAGTTCGCACGGCTGGCGAAATAGCCGCAGTGAGATCATGAAATCGAATTTAATATTAGAATTTACGCGTATCGAGAGATGATAGTCGATCGATTTAGATTTTAAGAAGCTCATATCATGGCCAGTATTATAAATTGTTAATATTATCCGAATGTCTGCAGACATTCGGATAATTGTACAACTGGGCAAACAAAATCTGTGAACTGTACGTTTTATTATAGTCATTCGCGGGGGCAGCATTTTGGATTCTCTTGGATTAGTCGTAGAAAATTTGGTCGAAAAGATTTTCCACGATCACTTGTTTCAACATAACGCTGTGTACAATACTGACTTTCGATAGCATAACTTGACCCTGTAACTGTCACATTAAAGTACACATTAAAAATTATACTCCCGTGAATTTATTTTTAACAGATTTATTTTCCACCCTATCAAAAATACTTTTTATATAAACACACGAGGGATTATTTGACGTTTATTTTTAATGCTACATTTATCTTTTTTTTTTTTGTCTAACTAAAAATACTAAAATACTTTGGCTATTAATATTTTATTACTTGGCTGCTGTGAAAGAGGATCACAACTCAATGAATATTGCAAAATCATCATCTTCTAGAACACTCAATTTTCGAGACTAAAATTCCAAATATTTTTACCTATGATATCCATCCAACGTCTTTCGAAGCATCACTAATGTTTTCGTGTGACAAAACACACAGGGAAAGTTAACTTGTACAGTTACGTAAGCGAATTTATCTCTCTCTCTCTCTCTCTCTCTCTCTCTCTCTCTCTCTCTCTCTCTCTCTCTCTCTCTCTCTCTCGCTGGCCGACTGACTTGCGCGTCGGCGCGTTGAGAAAAATTCTCGATCTCGATGTTCGACTAATCCGAAATAATTGCGCGCTGGCACTACGTCAACGGATCCGTCGAAGCCGCAGTTGTTCAGCGATTTACAGTCTCTTCTCTTCAGGCCATTGCTGCGATGCACATTTGTTTGAAAAAAAAATCTCCTCCCGAGCAAACTTTGTTTTGTAACTAATTACGGTTTCCTCGATCGCGCAATGAAGATTCAATTGTCACGTTAATTAATGAGAATCGACAGAGTACCACAGTTTTGTCCCCTTATTTTCCCCCTCTCAAAAAA